ATAAAGTATACATACATTAATAAGCCAACGCCGCGGGCACTAACAAGTATGCGGTTAGAAAACCCATTTCTTATGTCATCGCATTATAGCCCCTATAACATTGGAATAAGAGGTGTTTAGATTTATAAATGTGTGCGTAAAAAGGGTGCGTGTGTGTGTTTCCATTGCACACAATATATATACGACGTCATATTATTTTAATAAAGAAACTTTACATAATTAAAAAGTTTTGCTTTAAAAGTGAAATGTGTGAGCGAGATAGATATATGCCATCTCTTTCGCTCCTGTCAAATTCAATAATTTTCACTCCTTTCACCAAAATCCCTACTGAAGTATGATAACCGATTTCCAATTAATTTCGGACACCAAGGATATTAAAATTAATTTGTTAAACCCCCGATCAATATTTAATTAGCATACATTATTTATTACAAGACGTTAGGACCAGGCAATTGTCTGTTAAATACTATTTTGAGATATAGTACACGTTAAAAAAAACCTTTCTTCAGTTGTCAATAAACATTTCAATTAAAGTTTAAAACTAATAATTCTTCTTCTTCTTCTTTAGTTAGTGACGTTTCCTTATAGATTTCGCCAATGTCGTGTAATAATTCTTTTTAGTTATAATCATACTACAGGAAAAAGTCAGAATGACACATACTCTTGTGACTGAAGGAAAAAAAACAGATAATATTGTTTAAACCACACGTAACTTATTATTTTTATGCCAATCTCATTAATATTTATAAATTAATCAAGCATAAAATTTTATTATACGAAATTACTTAAAAACTTACTTAAATAAAATAATTTATGAAAATATACTAGAACCTTCATGTCAATTTAATTTAAATAATATTTTTATTTAAAACGTATTACAATGGAGCCGGCCATCTTGAATATGGGTATCGTGTGCATCACCCTATATATCTAGTATATGAACTAGGGTATATAATTGCAGTCTAGGCGTTTTTTGTACCTAACGTGCCAAGTGACCGCTTTCGTTGAGCTGTCGGTGTTATTTTAATATAAACTTTTATACAAATACTTACGAGGGAAAAAAATTAAAAATATATTTGACATCTGTTTGACTGTTTATTTTTTTATTGGTAGGTAACCTAAGACTTTCTTTAAATGATGATCGGAAAATCAATATTAATAAAAATTTCTGTTCTGTATCCAGTAATTGATCATATTATGAAAAAAATTATATACAATAATATATAGATTCCTACTTTATAGCTTAATAAAAAAATCCTAATGCAGTTTAATAGTTTACAATTTGCATATTTAATGATGATCGATCTTAATTAATCAATAAAATGACATAATTAAAATATCAATGTTCATATTTGTTTAGAATTCAATCATATATATTTGAATCAATTTACATGAATAAACCGATAAAAAAGAGTTTACAGATAAGATATAATCTAAAAAACTATAATATAGTCAATTAAAACCAACATTCGATTGACTTTGTCCATCAAAATCGGCTTAAAATTTATAAAATGACATAGTTTTTTTTTAATTAAATTTATTGCCATGAGAAAAATAAAAAGTTATAAATCACGACAACCATTTAATGTATATTTTCTGTATTTTAATAATAAATTTAATATATAATAATTTGAATTACCCAACTTCAATGATCAATCTCACACTATAACTTAATGACTATAGTTTAAAATTCATCATTTTCTACTTCAAACCGTTTAATCGATCTTATACATATTAAAGTAAGATAAAAACCATTAAAAGTATATATAAGTGTTATATATTCAAGGGTAGGCTAAAAATGAAAACACGTATAGGAGAAAATATTACTTTAAGATAATCTTGTGTTCCGTTGAGTGCTTTTTGGTATTAAAAAAAAGTCAGTTGTCTATGTTTTTTTATGTATTTTAATAGTATTTCCTCTTCCTGGCTTGTTTGTGTATTAATATCAGTTTTATAACTCTGAGTATTAGATATTTTGTGGTAATATTGTTATAGAAAGTTTTAACGACTATCAGAAAAAATAAAATAGGTTTTCTATTAGGATATTCAAATAAAAAATAAGAACAAATATTATTTTAAAAACAATATTAATGTCGTTCTACATAATATTTTAATATTTATGTTCAGTTTCTCATCACAAAATTAAGAAAACAGCTCTTACAAGTAACATTATTTCAAAGACAGGAATGCTTTTAAAATTTAATTTTGTTTCTTATCAATGAATCATTTTTTACTAATTTATTAATTTCGATACAAATATACTTTGAACTTTAAATAAATACGTTTTATATGTATTTATTAATATCAGAAATTTCTAGATTTTAATGCTTTTAAAAATATTCTTGTAAGTCACTCTAACATACTTTTTCATGCAAATTCTCTGACTTAGAACGACGGCGAAGACAATAATTATGCACAGAGCCACACGGGAATTCATAAACACTACTTTTTTTCTAGACCCTGCGTTTATGATAATATCTTTCTTATAAAAGAAAATGCATGTGCGTGGAAACGCGATGCAACATTAAAAAAATTAAAAAAACATGCCATCAAATAATTTCACAATATTTAATAATGGCCAGTTACTTGTATTTTCTAACAGATTCCTTTTCAATTATAATATAAATAACAAGAAATAAATATTATTTTTTCGATCATTATAAAGCATCTGTTAATATAATTAAGTTTCATTATTAAATAGAATAATACTTTCTTTAAAAACTCCTCAAATAATAATTGATTTTATTATCAATTACTTATATTAAAGCCATAGACAAAACGTCAAAATCAATTGTCACACTTTATAAAAACAAAAACGTCACAACTCACAACGGTAGTGTGCAAGCTAATTGGTATTTTCTAAATTTTCACCGTTTTATCCATTCAAAGTAAGTAATACTTTTTATATACAATTATATCTTTCTATTAATCTCCATTGAACAATATATATTTTTTGTCGGTTAAAAAATTCCATACATAAAATTTTTAATGAGGTTAGATTTAAAAACTTTTTAAATTGTTTGAGGATGAATAGTTTTATGCATTTGTTCAGATCGGCGTATATAAAGATTTGTGCGTCGCATAAGTCGGATGCTATACAAAATGATATTGTTTCATGTTTTCTCTTAAATCTCTAAAGAGTTTTACATAAAACTCATCATACAATTTTATAATATGTATTTCAATATTTAAATAAAACAATAACCACTCAATAGTTATTAAGGAAATTAAGATTTTGACTCCCTTAGTCTAATCACTCCCAAGCTATCCCTAATGATCATAATCCACTTTTCTAAAAATAATAAGTTTTTAATTCATTTATTTTCACTCTTAATCATATTAAGATAGTAAGTTGTAAATTGAAACCTACAATAAATAAATTGAATGAGGGGTTCAATGCATCTTGGTGATGTTAAGATATCTTAGTAATTTATTTAAATTGGTTACTTACTTATACTCATATGCTGGCTTTTTATCAGAACTAGAATTGACTGTCGGCAGAACATACACTTGTTTAATTTCGGTACAAATATTATGATAAAATTTTAACCAAAACTGTTTGACTTTATTTAAAATTTATATATATAAATTATAGTTTTATCAGACAGTGATTTTTCCATGTTTACTGATGTGTTTGCTTGCCGATGACAACTGTAATAAGATAATAATGCGAATAAAGTCAGGGTTAATAGCTTGTATATATAAAAGAAATTTATAGCCTATTTACTATATGATAGCCACCTTTACAAATATATAAAATATAAATATACATTTTTTTTAGGATATTATCTTGGTATTTTTCATTATTGTATAATTTATCTGATTTTTTCATTTTGTTACGTAACCATTGCCACTTCTGTCGATTGTCTTGTTTAATGTCATGTAAGCAAAATAAATCTATAATACGCTTTTATGTAAATTTGTACTGGAGAAGTTGAAAATATTATTAATGTATGTAAAATCTAAACTTAGACAATAATTAACTTATATACATGTCTCAGATGTCAGGACGAGAAGGGGGCAAAAAGAAACCGCTGAAGGCGCCAAAGAAAGCATCAAAAGAATTGGATGATGATGATCTTGCATTAAAACAAAAATTAAAAGAGCAACAGAAGGCTTTACAGGTTAATATTTGTACTTCTTTTATATCTTATTTATATTTCTATCATTTATAATATATATTTTTGTACAACTTTCGTGTTTTTTTCAGGATGCAAAAGCCAAGGCTACCCAAAAAGGACCTCTAACGCAAGGTGGCATAAAAAAATCAGGCAAAAAGTGACAAAACAATCCCCATTCTGTTTATTTATAGGTTGGAGCTATTTTAAGAATCTTAATTTTAATTATTTCAACTGTATACTGATAAATTTGTGTCACTAAAATTCTTTTTACCGTAACGCAATTCCTTTGTAATAATAATAAATAACTAGCACTGCCAAAGTAGTGCCTGTTTGCATTTTAATATTAAACACTGTTAAAAAAGGAATAAATGTATTAAACTATTGTTTTATTTATTTTGGCATAATAGTTTCGGATTCAATTCATCCCCTAGAAAAAAAAATAGTTCCCGCTCAAATTAAACGAATTTGGTTTTCATACATGCATGAATATAAATTCACTGAATTTGACAGTTTTTTCGTATTACTGTGTAGACGTGCTTTATTATTGACAAAGTGAGTAATTTTTTATTTTGAATGAAAACTCAATTTAGGTTCAAATAATTTGTTAAGCATATTTTCGATTTATAACTATGTCGTAATTATTCTAAATTATTTAACTACTTCTGTAGCATTACATTAAGTAATAAAACTTTATGGTTCTATGTATTAAGCTTGCATAGATCGTTTAAGATACAAAAATTTCCTCTTTTATATTTGAATGCAGACCGTTTAAATGATTTAAATACCTAATTAATGACCATCGATTACGTTTCTATATTTTAAAATCATAGTTTAAGTTTTAATAATATTATATTAATACAATTATATCTTGTCTTTAAGATGGAGTCTGATCCAAAAAATGCCAGTCAGGATAAAAACTTCAATTATTTGATTCATTACGAAAAAAATAATATTCCTAATAATTCAAACTTAAGATATTGTGGTCGAAATAATTTTATCCGTAATTATTTCAATGAAACAAATAACATTCACTACGAAGAATTGTGTTTAAACGAGACGCAACACGGTATAGAAAACGACAATAGTTTCGAAGATTTTGATATTATTTTGGATTTAGATAATTACGAATTTATAACAAAGATTAAAGAAACAGAAAGTTATCCAAATCCCGCACACAACTGGAGTCCTTTGGATGACCATAATTACTGTTTAAAACCGCTCCCGGAGAAACGCGATACTATAAAACTTAAAGATTTTTATAATTTAAAAACTTTTAATGGTCCCATACACAATGATATTGATGACGCTCTCAAAAAACGCAAAGAAAATTCAGATAGCTCTAGCGAAAAAAATATGTCTACATTACAATCGAAAGAACCAGAAATTTACATTATATCTGACGAATCTGAAAATGAGCTTGCAATATCTATATCTTCAGATGACAATGATTCGGATTGCGAAATCATAAACGATTTTACACCTGAATATGGACCTAAAAATTATAAAATGACACATGAAAAAATCGTTAAAAATGTAGATATACCTAAAAAATACGGCCTCAGTAATTTAAATGTCACTAATCAACATGACATTCCAAATGAAACAGAGTATATTAATATGTTTGAAACGCACATACCATACCCAATGTACTGTATGGAAAATAAAAGTATATATAAAAATGTTTGCAATATTGAATACCAAGACATAGGCTTCGATATGAGATTGTGTAAAAACGATGACTTGAAAGAGAATTGTGAGTATTGAGTATAGTTAGACATTAGTTACTAGCTTTCCGCCCGCAGTAGAGTTCGGTTATATCGCGTTTCCAAGAGAACCTTTCAAAAGTCTGGGATAAAAACTATCTTATGTTCTATCTCTGTACCAAATTTCATTAAAATCAGTTCAGTGGTTTAGGCGTGGAAGCGTAACAGACAGACAGAGTTACTTTCGCATTTATAATATTAGTAGGGATATATACAGGGTGACTGGTGAATTACTATCGATATTTGAGGACGTGATATTTGACGATCATATATGACAAAATAAAAATTAATATAACATAAATATTAATAAACTGCTAAGTAAAGTTAACCAAAAGTTGTGTAATTAATTACGCATCGTATGAACACCCTACGGATTAGGTATACACATACACTCACACATACGCGGCGAGGGCGTGGTTTTGTATCAGCACGCCGCCGCACGCGTCCACACTTGGAACACTTGGAACGTGTCAACACTTTATTTATTTATACGGAAATTTGGTCAAAAATTAAGTACCTATTTTTTTTACATAATTCGAATGAGAATCATGTACCGAGTATGCTCCTTAAATATTGATAGTAATTCACCAGTCACCCTGTATATGTATATGTCTGCGTGTGTGTTTATCCATATTATTAGTTTTTTAATTCACAGTTATCGATGAAGCCGAAGAATCCAAACGTATGATTCTTTCTATGTACCCATCAGAAAATAGAAGACTAAGACGAAGGCGCCAATAATATTAATATATTAATAACAAAATAAAACCATAAATACTTTAAAATTATTTACTAATTGCTTCCCTTATTAATTTACAACCTACATGAAAGTCTGCTCTTTGAAAGAAATTACTAAATCGATTTTGAGAAAACAGTTTATTTCCATAAGAATTCTTTAGTCATCTGAAATGATTCTAGTCAAAGCTCATTTTGGACATAAACAAATAATATATTGATTTAAAAAAATGTTTATTAACTATATATTTACAAGTAGTATTAAAAATACAGTCCACGATGTAAACTTCGATAAAATAATGTACTTTTAGTAACTCAACATAATTTTAACTAATAAAAACGATAGTCGCCTTACCATTCGTTAGCATAAACGTAATACACATAGTTTAACGTTTTTTCATACTATAAACTGATAGTATTTCGTTTCGCAACTAATAATAAGGATACTTACGTCGACATTTCAATATACATGATGTTAATTTTAATTTCCTTATTTATTTTGAATTAAATATCTACTGTAACGTTTTTGACACATTCAATATTGTTAAATTGTACCATATTATATAATAACAATAAATTTGAAGTTTTTTATTCAAAGTATTGAAATTCTCATATACTTATTGTTCTATATATCTATGTATATAACGCAGGCATTACATATAGCACCTAATTATATTTTCGTTTTATATACAAAATCCTAATAGAAGTAAGTGCATACAAAAACTAATCATGAATAAACTATTTAGAGTCAACGCAAATTTATGAGAAAATCGATATTTCTTTACTTGTCTTCATATTAAACATAACTTAATAATAATAACTTCACGCTTACTCCAAGTTCGCGGTAACGTCGTACTTGGCGTCAACAGTTTTGTCATTCATAAATCTTCAATATATTAACGTAGGTTATAGAGTGTGAAACGTTAAACGCATCGTACGTAGTAAACGCGAACTCGTGGTTAGCATACTTATATTTGATATATTTATTCTGTGATATTTTAATGTTCAATTCATTTTGGCTTTTCTTTTCGTTGGTGAGCGCGGCGGTGGATCAGTCTTCTTACTCTGAAAGTTAAATAATACAATATATTAGCCTTTATAATTTAAATATACATTTTAATTATTTGTATTATGTATATTATATTCATAGCAAAAACATTGATTCTGTGATAATTAATTTACAAAGCTTCATTCTTTCATAATCATCAGCCTATCAGAGCCCACTGCTGAGCAAAGGCCTCTTTTCACATGGAGAAGATTAGAGCATTAATCACTACATTTGCTCAAGACGGTTTGATGATTTCAAACTTATAATAATTGTGAAACTATAAGTTCAGGTTTCCTCACGATGTTTTCCTTCATCTGTCTGTGGTGTCTAAATACTCACAAAGTACAGGAAAACTCACAAAGTAAAGGAAAAATCACATAAGTACTTGCTAGGTTTCGAACCCGCACCCTCATGCATGAGGCGGACTTTTAACTAATAAACCACCACGACTTTTTAAAAAGCTTTTTGATTTTGTGTATTACTTTGGGCTAACAAAATTACCACTACTATTATAATTACTACTACTATTATTAATATACATAATTAAGGAAACGAACCTCTCTCGTCCGTTTAGCTCTCGGTTCATCTTCGACTTTATCTTCTTTACTATTCTTTTCGTTCTTATCTTCTTTGCTGTTCTTTCCTTTAACTTCCTTAGCTTCTTTATCATTCTTATCTTTATCTGACTCCGTACTTTCCTTATCTTTATCTGTATCGTTTTGTGCTTTATCTTTTTCGCTTTCCTTTTCCGCGTTATCTTTTGTTTCATTGATGGCTTCCTTTTCGTTTTCTTCTTGTGTATCTTTATCTTTTGCTTCATCATCTTCTGTGTTAGCTTCTTCTGTCTTATCTGTATCTGTAATTTCATTATCTTTGCTATCTTTTTCTACTTCGTTATTATCTTTGTCATCTTTATCTTTATCTTCTTCGTTCTTTTTGTTCTCTGTTTGTTCTTCAAGTTTTGTTTCCTTTTCTTTTTCCTTCTCATCCTGTTGCTGTTTTCTAGATGATTGTCGTTTTAACGGCGGTTTTGAGGGAGTGCTATTAACTTTCTTTGCTTTGACTGAAACAAGCATATTAATTTTATGTTATGTTTATGTCATAGCAATATTAAGGTAGTACATAATCTTAGAATAGTTGTGTCGAAAGTTCGAATATTGTTTCGAATTCATTATTATATTAGTTAGTTTTTGTGGTCTTCATTAAATTTACTTATATCTCATCTATCTTCAATAAGAAATTATTTTTTGTACAACAACTAGTTTTTATGAAACATTTCTGAATGAAATATAAATGTTTTTAACTGTAATATATTATTATTATATTACCTGGAGGTTTTTTCTTTGATTCTTCATTTTCGTCTTCATTCGCAGCTTCAACGGCCGATTTCATTGTGTGTGATGTTGGTACTGACATTTCTGTAAATTAAACCATATGTTAATAACAATAAAGATTATTTTAAAATCAAATCAACATATATTTTTTTAATTTATATAAGAAATCAGAGAAAACCAACACTATGCTTTCTAACTTGTAATTTGAGTTAGAAAACCATAACTTTTATAAGATAATTTTTACATGTAAAAAGATTTATATATTTTTACATACTTATATACAAAAAATAACTTATTCAATACACTTGGAGGGTATTTTGTATACTAAAATGTATAACAAAAAAGATTTCTGATTTAAAAAAGTACTTTTAACCAAAATTTTATTACCCAAAGGTTCATGCACTAATTCCAGTAGTTCATCAGAGCTTAGTTTAGATGTGGCCTTTTTGAATTGATTGACACGTTCTGTGAAGAATTCCCAAAATGATAGACCTTCCAGTGTAGGGAATAGATCCTGTAAATAAAAGTTAAGATAATATTAGTTTACATATTTTAACCACTAATTAAAATTATCATTGTTTTGTTCTTTAACAAATTCTTTGTTCTTGTAAACTCGTCTTTGAATCTAAATATAATTTTTATGATTTTAAATCTGTAGATATGATGTGAGAAATAAAGTTATATTTAAATATATGCTATAGTTAAGGGAAAAATTAATATCCACAAAGTTTGCAATAGGTATTACATGATGAAACCATAACTAATCAATATAAATAAATCCTTATAATTAATTGGCCTATAGCATGGGATAACAAAAGATATTGTTTCTTAAATTTAAAATGTAGACATACAATAGTGAACTTAAACAAGCAGTTTTATAGACAGGGAGTTAATATTTACATAACATAGAATCAGTGGCGGCTGTACCTTAAGTGCGCCCGTGCGCTGAACCACCAATTCAAAATATTTAAAAATTACAAAATATTATGTCATCTTAATTTTTAAATTACCATTTTAATATTTATTTTTTAAACATACAAAAAGGTATAAAAAATTTAATTTCCAATTATAGTCAAAAAGTTTGAGCGCTTTACTAAACTCATATCGTGCGCTCCGGCGAGTGCACGAGGACTGCTAATACATCTTGTATGAGACACGCATTAATACGCCTGACGCGTGAGACAAAAGATAGTTCATAGGAATGTACCGAGTAACGAGTCGGTTCTCGCGCGCCGCACGAAGCGGCCGAAGGTTACCGAGAGCACCCGATGACGTATTGAGCCGGCCGGCAAGGGGCCGGCCGAAAGGATGGGTGCTATGATTGACATTTCGTTAATCGTTATTGGTATTGTTTCAACTTTCACTGTATGCGTGACGCGTTAATTCGTTATTGTTTATAATTATTTCCGTAATTCGTTTTAGTTTTTATTTCGTTTCTATAATAGAACTTTTATTCTGTACTGTGTTTTTAATTAGTTGAAAATGAGTATAAATATTGATACTATTAAAGAAAATAACAAAATTTTTCAAAGTAAAGTGAACATAAAATTGGCCGGGCCGCCACGGCCCTTTTTAAATTTAAAACAAGAGTGTAAATCGAAAAATAAAGCATTTATACGAAGTTTTAAAAGACAGAAGACAGAAACTGGAATCAAGGATTTGACGCATTTAAGTGAAAAAATAAAAAACACGATTCTTCACAAGTACACCTACAAAATGTAATGAGTTTGTCTGTGTTAGGCACAGTCGATATTCGTAATCAGCTAGATTCTGTGTATAGAAGTAATATCCAAAAGTATAATAAACAAGTTGATAAAAACAGATACATTTTATCACGTCTTATCGATTGTGTCAAGTTTTGTGGTGCATTTGAGTTAGCTTTGCGAGGTCACGATGAAACTATTGAGTCCAGTAATGCTGGAGTGTTTCGTGGATTAATAGACTTTGTATCAGAGTTGGATATAGTTATGAATTAATGTACAAAAAATAAACATATTTTATGTCAATTGTTGTTTTTGTCAATATTTTAGTAAAGTGAACCACCAGTTCGATAACCCACCAGCCGCCACTGCATAGAATGAAAAAATATTGATAAGTTAATTAATTACTTGAGCCAAAATTATCCTTTATAGTAACAACTTTGTAATCTTTTGCACTTTCCTATTATTTGTTTTCATAAATTCTATCATTCTATAGTAAAAGTCATATCAGAATATATTCATGGTAGACATTTCAAGAAGTTTCTAATATCCAAATGTATCAACAACATAGATAGTTATTCAAATGTTATGTATTAGTTATACTTGCTTGATATTATTCAATAATATGATATCAAGAGTAATATTAATAAATTACATTAATATATTAGTTTCTATCATACATATATACATGACAAATTTAATATAGTTTTGTTTTATATCATATTACCTTCATATTATTATATAAAGTGTCAGCCTGTCTCCTTATCTTGCCAGCGTGTTGGCTGAACTGTAACACGGCCTCTTCACTTAATTCCCACGACGGTGTGTTACCAACATATGCTCTCATACGTTTGATAGTCTCAAGACATGATGGATGTTTTAATAGCATTAGCGGCTTTAATTCAAGTTCTGAAATATATTTAAGTATGAGATTATATGATATATAGTATATAAAGTAAAATGAAATGGCCTCTGAATGAAATTTCTCTAGTAGATATATGTTTTATTTACTTTATAGTAACAATTCCCAAACATATTTAATCTACTTAACACTAAGTATAAATTGCTTTGTAACGCCCCTATATTTTCACCTACTGAAAAACCACTACAACTTAGACTAGCTATGAAATTTTAAATCACACCCCAGGGGTCTCTTATTACCCCTTTTAGGCCTGCAGTGCTCACAAGTCTATGTTATTGTCTACTTTAGGAAAGGCTATAGTAGTAACTTAAGTAACAAATTCCATGTAAAATATTCCTAATGAGATAATATATATATATGCTTTTTATATTGATACATTATCTTTGTGTGGTCATGGTATGGTATTCATTGCATATTTACTACAGGTCATAAATATATTTAATTACATATAAACAAAAATGTATATATTAAATGAGATCTGAGATTTTCGCAAGTATTAATTTTAACTACATATTCCCGACGTGATCACGGGCTAACAGTAACCGAAACGTCGAAAATTTATTTTCATAAATAATTATAAACGCTTAGTGAATCCGAAAAATGATAGTTTTATTTCAGTATATATAAAAATATTAATTACTAACCCATAAGTTCATCAAGTAACTTCAAACATAACTCCGTATCAGCTTTCTCCAAACACAGACATGTCTTTATCTTAGCATCAAGCTCTATAAGCTTCATTTCAGTCTTTAGAAATTGTACGCGAGATTTCTTTTCCTCTGTAATAAAAAAAACCTCATTGTATTAACTTATACTTTATAAAAAAAAACTAGTAATGAAGGAAATTTATAATTTATTAATTACACATTGGATGTGTCCAACAATATAAATTTAAAAAATACTTAATATTGCGTGTTTGTTTTAAGCTATTTATGTTAAAAATAAGAGTGTAATTAAAATCTAATTCTCACGTAAGAAGTTTGGCGAAAGAGAAGTTTTAAAGAAAAACTCACGTTATTATGTATTAAAACTAAATTTAACTCAGATCTTTTTTTAAATATCAGATATTAATATTAAATTTAATTTACTAGTTTTTGACAGCGACTTTGTTCACGTGGATTTCAAAATAGGGTTTAGCGAGAAATGTATAAACTAATGTATTAAATTACAAAAGATAAATTAAACAACAGTCAGCGACATCTGTGGACTGTGTCGTGTAACTACATACACAATATAACTGTTATGCCGCGATAGTGGGTTAAATACAGGCAATTCCAAGTTGAATTATATCCTGTCTTCTTATATTTATTTATTTATTTGTAAAGTCTAAATAACATTGTGAGGTTTTATCAAAATCAGTTTAGTAGTTTTTGTGTATAGAATCAACAAACATCCATACAAAATCACATAAGTTATGTGTAATATTAGTTTTGTATTTATTCCCAAAGAGGGTTGATGTCAGACAGGCGGCCGGTCGTAAACAGTTAGCCAAAACTATTTACAACATGTAAGGCAGACCCTGGCTAAAGCTGGGAAATTGCCAGGTGGAATAATATTAATTGTATATATGTATTCCTCACCTGTTTCCCTTTCCTTATCAAACATTGCCTTTTCTTGATCTGACAAGTTGAGATCCATAACTAGCTGAGCGATCACAGATTGTGCTGTAATCTGACCTTTCTCTGTAAATGATAAAAATACCATTTAGTAAAAATATACAGTTTTATACATTTATTTAGAAATTTACATTATTATTCAATAATAATAAATGGAATATACATTTTTGTATTGATTTCATATTAATAATCATATTGATAATGCATATTTTCCATATGAACAGACAAAAAACTATAATTATTATAATTATTTAGATATTTTATAGTGTTAGATCTCACCTAATTGCATCTTTAATGTGAGTGCATTGCTTGCCGCCTGTTTATCCCACTGAAGCCTTGAAGCTTCGTTCTTGAAACTGGGCCTCGATTGAAACAACTTTATACCAACATACTGACCGGATGGCAGATATGTGATTATTATAGTGTCCTTTTCTGGATCCTCTGAAAAATAACATAATTTATATGCATATATATACTGAAAACAGCTATATTTATAATAATTAACATATATAGACCCTACCAGAAATAGAACTTAGCTAAAGCTGGGAAATTGCCGGGAAGAAGAAGATAGGCTAGGATACCGTAACTCACTGAGTATACATATATTCATACATATATTATATGGAATATAAAAAACAAAAACTATTGTTATATTTATATATTTATTTGAAAACAGAGAAAAACCATTTGAAAGTCATTTCACCGATTATACATATATTTGAAATTAATTTTTATTAATAAAAATTAATTATTTAATATTTATACATATAAATATTCTATTATCTGTTGGATACATCTGAATTATTTTCGATATAATGCTCTTGTCACTACAATTATCAATATCACCAGATTCCTTTATATATTCCGAGTAAAATTTATTTACACCTATATCTCCATTTTCTATTGACATCGGTACAAAACTTTCAACTTGAAATGGTTCATTGGTTTCGAACATATGTATATAATCTTCGTTTACAGGTATTTTGTGTGGTGAATTATTAACTTTAGTTAAAACATTTGTATGGTTTAGTAAATTATCGCAGCTTTTCATGTCTAGATCTTTGTACGTTTTGAGTGAAGCTACAGATGCTGTAGAGAGGTCGCGTGTTAAAGTTGTTTGTATTTCTTGATTTTGATGTAATTCGGTTACATCCTGAGATAATGGTACATCACCATTTAATATATTAAAGCTTGCAGTTAATATACCATCCATTAGAACTTCCGAATTTAATGTTAAATTTTGCGAATGGTTATAAAACATTTCATTTATATACTCATTTTCTGATGATAAAAGATTTTCACAATCGTTTTCGGTTAAATTAAAATCAGGAGTTTCTACGAAATTATTATTATTTATATCAGATATCGTATTTGGATTATTTGTGAACTTCTCATTAAATTCGTTAACCATATTACATGGCGTATCAAATTTGCAACGAATGGAATCATAAAAAGAATCTCCCATATAATCGTCTGTAAAGTATTAAATGGATATAAAATAAGAAATATTAATCAAGAACATCGTTAATGGTAACAAAACAAGTTTACCCGTATTTGTTTTCACGTCATCTTCGTTGCAATCCAAAAGTAAATTCTGTGCGAAATTGTCGTCGTATTGACTTAATATCATAGAACTTAATAGATCGCCTTTAAAAGAATTGGACATTTGTATAATTATTCTTTTTCTTATACAAAACTATTTATTGGTTGTTTGTTTAAAATATTATGTTTTCATCCGTGCAAAGACGTGCACAGTATAAAAGTATGTATTTACGAATACACGAAGTGATTTTGTTTCCCGCGATTTTAAAAAAATATGGCGTCCGTGTTTTTTTATATGAAAAATATTTGGATTTCGTCATTCAGCCAATGTGATTATTAAAAATATAGTTTTTATGTTATTGCTGTGAATTTTATAATTTTTAATTGTGATAACTTATATATGTATTTGAAAAATAAATTATAAATACATATATTTGAAAAATAAATTATAAATGATTTCTTACCTGGGGCAAACGGCTCCTTTAAATCCTCAAGTTCGTTCTGGAAAAATAATAATGTTTTAAGATTATTTTTTTTATGTAGTAATTAATTTTTGGCCTATAATTAGTTGAAGAGTTAATCGTTAAATGACAAATATTAAGTAGGATTTTTTTTTGTCAATTTTTTTTTGTTACATTTAAATGTAACTTTTATCTGTTTTACATAACAAAATGCATTAAAATTTTTATAAACACCTAAGCTTTTTAAGCATCAAAAATCAATAAACATCAAGTATTAATTAATATAATATGATATTTTATAATGGTAACACATTACTATATACAATTGCTAATCACACACTTTATGGACTCCAAAAAATATTATATATATATTTTAAATATACAAAGCATTGACTACCATTAAATAGTGATAATAAATACAATTTATATATTAAATGAATTAATTTCTTTATACCTGTGTTACAACATTGAATTGTTTGACACTGTCTTTTTCTTGAGCATTTTCTTTTTCGTTCTCTATAGGCGAAGCTCTACGTTTCTTAGGCGCTGGCGACGGTAAAGTAGAATTTTCCTCCGTATGTTCATCTATGTACCTAGAAATTTATATATAAATAGATAACATATATGATTTATATGTAAAATATATTTATATATGTATTGAAATGTAAGTCATTATCGCTAAATAAGATTCTCACTGAAAAATCTTAATTCGGCATTGACTTTCTATATATGGATTTTTTAGACTAATACATCAATCTTATGATGATCAGTAATATATATATTAAAAATCCAAAACAAATATTATAATTATATAAAATTTTAATTCAATTAGATAGTGATTGACTATCATTTCAATCAATGGAAGGTGGACATTAAGTTGTAGGTGGTGAATGCACCATCTTGAACATTTTATGCCTAAATAATAATTAAAAGAAAATACAGATTCAGATAAATTTTACTGTTTCTTATTGAGATCTCCGATTTTCGCGAGTTTTATTCATTTTAATGAAACTAATATTTTTCGGATATACCTACTACGCGACTTTGTTTGATAAAAACTACATACTCCCGACGTTTCGGGCTACTTTACACCAACCGTTATCATATTTTTTGCTGTCTTTTTAAGGATGTAGAAAAATTAAAATTTTACATAAATATTTCCTAAAATGTAATTATTGTTTTAAAGATAATGTAAATCATATTATTTCTACTTTTCCAATTTACCGTAACTATAATCAGTTCCTTATGATTGACCAACTGTGTCGAAAGGCAAAAAATTTAGACTTTTCAAACAAACAGTACACATTTTAACCAGGCATCAGCGCCATCTATAATCTGTTACGTGACTATACACAATAAAACTGTTATTTTTATCTTGTTCGACTTAAATTTGAGTCTATATCCTATCTGATATCTAAACTATATAACTGACAAGTTTCATCAAAATCCGTTTATTAGTTTTTGTTTGAAAGAGTCACATACAGACATCCTAACATAGTTTCCACCTTATAATATCATTATACAAATATACATATTCAAGATCATTTAAATGAATCATATTTTTCGGATTATACTACGCGACTTTATTTTTGTATAAGTATGTGGTTTTTTATAAAAATAAAGTCGCGAAGTATAATCCGAAATATATTTCATTTAAATGAATCAAACTCACGATTATCCTAGATCTCATTACATTCAAGATTGTTTGCGAACCCATCTTTAATACCTACCTTTTAGGTCTTATTTTCCTTCCACTCCTACTGACAATTTCCTCATCTTTCTTATCATCTTTATTAATATCTTCTTTATTATCTTTATTAACATCTTCTTTCTTGCCCCTTCTTGGTGTTTTAACTTCTTTGGGTTTCGGTGTATCCTTTGCTGGTGTTTTTGGACCACGTTTCGCCGGTTTTGGCTATTGAATGATAAAATATATAGAATCTTCGGTTAAATACTGTTTTTATAAGTATTTTTTTATATATATTATGGAGATACTTTAAATTTTTGTAGATATTGTGCAAATCCGCGTAACTAACATTGGATAATTCCGCGTATCTACATTGGAAGCAGATCAGAAGAAAAATTAAGCTAAAATATTTTCTATATTAACGACTTTTATGATAATTTTTTCACAATTAATAATAATTATTTAGTGTTTATAAATATAATATAATATATTATAATGTATTTAATTCACCTTGCCTCCTTCATCAATTATCAGACCTCCTGTTTCATCAGAATCTTCAATTGCTGTGTCATTTTGGGTGGTGTTCTAGAATATGTAACAAATTTCGCATTATTATACCAGATAAAATACTTGGGAATATAGACTAAAACCTACATAAAATATATTGAAAACCAATTTTATTATTATATATACCAAATTAACTTTTTAAATAATTTAATATGAATTTATGATCTTATAAATTCTTCTACATTGATTTTTCCATTAATAAGAAAGTAACAAGAAATGATTGTTTAAAAGCAAAATTAAAAAGAGCATTTTTAATATACATTACAGTTATTATTGCCCAATCACATAGGATATAAGCAACAAAATTAATATACTTTAAAATTAAATGTGCAACAAAACTATGATTTTTAGGTATATTATTTGCATTTTAGCAAAACATTTTGATTATTTAACACCAATTTTATTCACAAACAAGATGAAAGTGTTTGAATCTAAGATATCATTAAATTAAATATATATGTTAGATACATCTTTATGTACTAAAAAAATCTATTAATTATACTTATAATGTTTAACTAATTCTAGCTTAAATATATAAAAAGTTTATTATATATGTACATATATATATTACCTCTTCAGCTATGCTTTCATCAGCTGTTGTATCAGCCATAGTCTCGTCAGCAGTTTCATTTAATGTCTCATTCATTGTATTATTCACACTGTCTGGAGTCTGAAATATTTATAGTACAAAATCAAACATAGTCAATATATTTAATTATAAAAATAATATTGTCAAAGTACCAATACCTAATCACTGACAATTAAATCCAAAAGTACTTTTTATTACAATAGACATAAAACTCATATTTGCATAGATCGAATTCATTCCTATCCAATATTTCTTTACCAAACAATTTCTTGATCTATGTGAAAATATTTACTAAGTGGCAGAATTCGTTCATTTGTATATATTTTATAGTTTTTTTCGTCTGGTGTAAAATTACATTCTCAACACTTGTATTGGTACTTGATCGACAATATACGTATAGTATTAAAATTCTTTTCATTCATTATTTACATACCTCAGCCACGATCCCAATAACTTGTTCGAGCGGCACATTATTGGCGAAGTCATATTCTATTTGTTTAACACCGTCATTGAAATCACGTCTTTTAACAGTTTTTGTTAGAAACTTATCTTTATTTTCTGCGTAGTCAAATATCATATTTGGAGGAAGGTTGGCTCTGTAATTATTGGACATTATTTAAGTATATATATAATTTATATGTAGTATTTGAGAATGGAAGATAGGTATTATTTTTGAATATTTAATAAAACTCACGTTTCACCAGTTCCATAGAAATAAACAAAATACTTTTTCCCATTTAGTCTTTGAACCTAAAACACAAAATATTAAGATTAAACACAAAAATAAAAATTCAGTATCGTAATAATGGTATTACGAAATAGAAATGTTACATACTTATATATATGAAATATTGTGACTTTTTAATAACAAGTAGTGTTTTGACCGACAATATAAATATGTTATTTTGGCAAGTTATAATGTTTTTCATATTATTAGAATCAAATAGTATTCTAGTAAAGTAGATTGAAAATAAAAACAATGACGCTAGTATATAATAGGCAAGCATAGCGTCAGTCAAAATGTCTTCCCGCCACCGACTTTCAGATAAGAATTTACGAATTATACACTAAATATAAGTTCCAAATTATCAATGATTACTCACCCTCGCCGGCCAGGCTGGATATCCTTTTACTTTTGCAAATATAAAGTCACCGGACTTATATTCACGTACTTTTTTACCCATCTTCATTTTGAGGCCGTAACAAAATATGTATTATAGTATTTTTAACAACCACTGCCGTTTCACGGACACTGCAATAACAGAATGCTTTGATGTACGCACAAATAACAACAATTGCTACATAAATTCACCGTTTTAGTAAAACAATTTTCAGTAAAATAAAAAGGACGCTAAGATAAGAAATAACCTAAAACTCTTACCGCGGTAATGAATGACGGCAAAGAAAAGAAATAAACATGGCGTTCCGCTGGGTTACCATATAAGGTAACAAAATTGACTTGGACATTCAACCAAAAAATTGGAAGGAATTATTAAAAATAGTAGCTATGCCATAAAACTATTGTTAAATGTAATCACTGAAATTTTTTTCAAAATACTTTTAAAACGTGAGTAAGAAAAAACTAACAATAAAAGTTGCATACATATAGTTATTGCTTAGATCAATATTGTATTCCACTATGAAACATTTTTATATATTAAAAGATATTGGAAATTGATACTTGTAACCATTTTTCGTATAAATATTGTCATTTAAATTTTATTTATGTGTGAAATACTTAACAGCAAATGTCGAAGTTTCGTTGTTTCACTAAACGAGGAAATAAATAGATTTTTTTAAATATATACGAATAAAGTCTAAAACACATTTATGCAGTAGTACATTTTAGTATTATTGTCAGCAATATTTAATGTATTCCGGCAGGGTCGCAAGGCAAGCACTCGATATACCGTGGTCCTGCCTAGGTGGCGTGGATGAGGAACACCCAGGGGTTTTAGTGGGTCTCAACCCTACATAACCCGGTCAAGTCCCCGCTCGGCCGGGTATCTGTGAACAGATTTCCCCTGGGAAAAAAAAATATTTAATGTATTGAAATTAAGAACATAGTCCACACTGAAACTACTGATTCGATTTTAATCAATCAATTACTTTTTACAGTGTTAATCCATGTAAAAAAAAATTCATCCTAAACCCTTGAGATTCTATAGTTACATGAGCTTTTAAAAAAGTCATGGCATACATCTATACATGTGTCTTAATATGCTTATAGCATTAATACTATTTAAATATTGTCGTAGTAAGTTTGGTGGTTCTACTTATAATTTAATAATAAGGAAATAAATCTGATTTTCGATACGATATTAATGAATGGATAAAACCAATAAAAATTTTAATGCGAAATATATACTTATCTTCTGCTTAGTATATGATGATATTTTGAACGTATCAACTTTAAAAAATCCATAAATATTGACAATTTAATTTATTAATGAATTTATTTCGTAATAATTTTTAAACTGGTAACTCAGTTACTATAAGCGGTCGTGTCAGATGGATGCTTTGGGCGAGCATTTTCGCGTAAATTAATTGATTTCTTCTAATTAAATTATTGTGAATCATTGTGGTTGCTATTAAAATGTAAAGTGAGCCATGATAATAAATATTGTACTGATACACAGGAAAGTGACTTCCATATAGGGGTGTAACTAAAAAACAAAAATGGCCTCAGGTGATAATGATCATATAGAAATAATGGATAGCTCTGTGTTAAAGAAGTTGGATACAACGCATTCAGGATCAGAGGATGATGGTGGGTTAAATAACATTTATATAAAACAATACATTTATTATAATGTTAAACTCATTATGTACCACGACCCTGATTTATCATGTATTTTATTGAATTTTCGTATTTCCAGATCGCGATAGGGCTTCTATAGCTGAGAAAAATGCACCGTACGATGTAAGTGACCCAATAATTATATATATGTGTGTTTTCATTCAATTTTCAAGTTTTTTTTATGATAGAGAAAGTATGTCTCTCAACAGCATTGTCCACTTTACAATGCCTTTACAGTCACCTGTTTTAAAAACTCATCATCTAATTATGAGTCATAACAAACATTAATTGGATATCAGGAACTTATTAACATAATTTATGCATACATTAGAAGATCAGATTATATGTATAGAAAACACAATTTCATGTTATATATTTAAAAAAAACTATCTAGAGATACATATGAATGATGTAGTGATAAAAATTTGCATGTTATTATTTTAAGCGAAATTAATATGTGAATATAATTGTAAAAAGGTCATATATAATTATTATTTTTTATCTGTGCTATCTGTTTGGCTGTTTGTGTTAATTATTTATAATGTTCAGAGTAAATGATTGCGTCTCTACTCAACCATGATGATTGTTTTATGCACTGAATGATAATTATGTGAGGACATACATATAACTCATAAGTTAGCTGCCATCTATATATGTATGATAGTAATGTAACATTTTGTATATATATATATATCTTAATTTTTCAAGGTTTAATATAATTAAATATTTTTTTTAATGACTATGAAATATCTACGTTATTCAATACTGATATATATAACCATATTTTATTTTTAATTGTAGTAGTTTTGATAAAATTTAAAATACTAAGCCAGTGATATTCTGATAATGTTAGTTTTTCCTCTATTTAGTATGAATATAATCTGTTTAGTAAATTAATTTATTATTGGTGGTGATATTATATAAACATACATGCATAAATTCAAATTAAGATTTTTATATATTATTATTAGTATAGAAATTAGAATTTATTCATTAGTTGTCTCAAAATGTATGTATGCTATGTGGTTTCTTTAAGTTTGATAAAGCTATAAGTGAGAGAGATAGATACAGTGTAGGGTGCACTATCTGTCTCTCACTCACACACACACACACACACACATACACCGACAAACTATTTATTATAATAATGCATTATAATCTGTATATTATAGTGATATTGAAGGGACTAACTATTTTAATCTGATACAATAAGTTTTCATTATAAAGAGTAGAAAAAAATATGATATTAATTAGGTAATATACTTATTTAAGGAAGAAATTATGTAATAATTTTATAATTAATTACTTTTTTAATATTTCATTCATATTTTTGATATAGTGGGCTTGTTTATGTTCAATAAAACATAATAGTTCTGATTTCTACAAATCTAGTTTGGTGCTTGGTTGTGGCTTACATTTTTTTGTACCACATAACTGTTAATCTCATTTTTCTTTACTGAAACTAGAATTTCTTCATCTTCTTCAAAGTTGAAAGCTTAGTTCTTATCTACATGTATGTATGGTTCAAAATTTTATTGAGACTTTGTTTTATGTTAAACTGTTCCATCCATTCAATTCATGGGAGGTAATTTTCATTTCTGATCTCAGCATCTTTAAAAGCAATATTAGGCTCTGCATAGCAAAAAGAGTAGGTATTATGTAGTACAGATGTTAGTTATAAAATTACTTGCAAATTTGAAGGAATGTCAGTACAAATGTTCATGAGATGAAAATTTTTAATTCTTTCAATGGTTTATATAATTTTTTCCAATTTTATGTCAAAGAAGTAACTTCTCATACATACAGATTTATTTGTTTTATAAACAGTTCTGGTGTGTTTGAAAAATTATAGAATTTTTCCTTTATCTATCACCATACTTTTATATTTTCGTGAGAGTCTTATTATCAGTTGTCATAACTATGATATGCTCTTCAATGTGAAGAAGATACTTCTTCATCAAAATTAAAAATGTAGTAATAATGTATCTTCTTCTACCTGGCAATTTCCTAGCTTTAGCCAGGGTCTGCCTTACATGTTGTAAATAGTTTTGACTAATTGTTTTTATGACCGGCCGCCTGCCTGGCATCAACCCTCTTTTGGGAAAGTAATAATGTATACAGAAGACTAAATAATATATTGGTTCATTATTGTAAATGGCTGCTGTTTTAAATAATAACATATCAAGCAACATACACTATACACAAGAAATTCTATACTTTAAAGACTTTATTACATAGAAACTGACTTTATAAAATTTATACAATAAATTATTAATATAATAAATAACATATTATGTACATAATTTAAATTCATATACATTATAATGTACTTTGGTTGATGAATCTCCTGTTTAAATATATGTATATGTATGTATATATGATGTTGGTGTTAAATTGTATTTTATTATATACATAATGTATATTTGATAACTATATTATGTAAATTATAAGTTATTACTAGTAAATATTTTAACGAACATGTTGAATAATGTTGTATAATATACATATATATGAAGCTTTTTCCTTACATTACATATATTTATATATAGTACCACAGCATCCAGGCAGACCCTGGCTAAAGCTGGAAAATTGCCAGGAAGATGAAGAAGATAGTACCACAGCATCCCAACTGCAATTGTATCAATTATCTTAAAAATTGTTGAATTAAATCAATGCATGTCTGTCTTATGTTACATAACTCAAGAATTTGCTTAACATTGCAATACCACCTTAATCATTGATAAGTGATAAGGTATATCTAGATTATATATATGAGAATATAATACATACATACATTTAATAATTTTTATGCTATAATATGAGATAGTATTGTATAAGCTTTTCTATGTATGTGTGTGTGTGTGTGTGTTATTTAATTGCTCTTATAAACCATCACTCATTTGCCTATTAAATATTTGGCACAAAACTAGATGAAATAATTATGACTTTCACTTGATACATCATATGATATCTCTTATTAATTCAGAAATCTTTTGCTCTTTAATTTCACTACATGTTGTGAGTTTTTAAATACTTTCTTTTTAATATAGATTATTTATTTTCCTACTTTAATATTGCCAGTTTTATAAATACACAAATTTGTGTTTGCATTTATAAGCCGTTGTAAATCTATTCGCACTATTAGGAAATAAGTTATAAGTTAAGATTTTACTTAAATCAAATAAATATAAATGTGACAGAAAGCAATGGTGTATATTCTGCATTAAAATAATTTAAATTTTTGTTAAATCCTTCATGCTCATAGGATGTAAATTCTACTATTTCTATATACTAGAAAAACACAGATTTCTTTTATATCTCATACTATTTGTAAAATATAAATGCATTTAAGTCTAACAATTACAATATAATCACAAATCTCATTGCAAAAAATCTGTGACCATAAAACAATAGGATGTAGCGTTTATGTGTTGTATTAAAAGAGATTCATTAGATGAGATTGAATCAACAATCACGATTTCATAACGCAACTAGGAGCTAAGTAACAATTTTATAATATATAAAACCTCATTACAACGGCTTCACACGCTCGGATTTTGTGTGAGAGTTGATAAAAAAAATTACAGTGAGTACCAAGAAGTTTTTAATTGACATAATTTTTTTTTTAAATAAATATTGTGTGTGTTATGCTAACTACTTATAGACAGTTTTTCAGAGTTTCTGTAATGAGATTTTCTGTTCACTTAAGTATATTCATTATTTTAGTATAATTACATATGCCATAGAGAGGCAATCATTCTTAAAAACATTTAGACATAGAATTATGCAAATGGCTTCAATACAAATATGACATTGATGTTAAAGTAATTATGAATGTCTGTTTGTTTCTTATCTATCTATATCTGAACTGCTGAACTGATTTTAATGTAATTGGTTATGGATGTAAGTACTATGACAGAGAATGACATGAAATGAAGACTGTTTGGAAAAATTTACCCAGACGCAACCGCTGGCGAAAGTTAGTCATTATTAATATAGTTTTTATAAATTATTACATTAAAATATCTCTTATTTATGTATAAAAAATTAACCCTTTGCAGAAATGGTTGTCACAGAGGAAACATACATATTACATATTTAAGTTATTACTTATGTGATATATGAATGAAATTTATAATGTTTTCTATTTTAACACAAAACTTCTGAACTAATTAATTTTACAATGTACTCGAACAAAAATTTCCCATACCACTGTCCGAATTTTATATGGATGAATATTAATACACTAAAAGTATTATTAATACAAAAACGGCTGCAAAATATACGTACAGGAAAGTATTAAAAATCATATATGTACAGCCACGGGCAAAAGTATTAGGCACCCTACAGTAAGACAAGTTTTAGGGTGTTTTAACATAGCGAGTGTAAATAAAACTGCATTTATGATTACAATGGTTTATTTTAAGAAAATAATTAATATTTTGTAGGTCCACCTTTTGACTTAATAACCGCAGCCACTCTTTTTGGCATTGACTCTACCAGCCTGAAACATTCTTCTCTTGTTATATTTTTCCATTCCTGCTGTAACGCGGCCAATAGAGCTTGTTTATTGCTAATCGAGTGCCTGCGGATATTTTTCTTTAAAATGGACCAAATATGCTCAATCGGGTTGAGGTCTGGTGATTGTGGTGGCCAGTCCAAAAGATCAATATTATTTTCAGCAAACCACTTCATGGTATGCGCGGACTTGTGGCAAGTGGCGTTGTCTTGCTGAAATTTCAGGCCATCGGTGTTTGTATCACCGAAAATTTGCGTTATCGACGTTGCTAGTGCTGTTTCCAGAACTTCAGTGTATTTAACACTATTCATTCGTCCCTCACACAACACCATTTCGCCTACTCCGTCGGCAGCCATGCAGCCCCAGATCATTATTGAGCCTCCACCATGCTTAACAGTGGGAACCACACATTCTGGGTTGTATTCTTCGCCAACCCTTCGCCTAACATAAGTCACACCGGGTGTTCCAAACACCTATGCCAAACGAAAAAAACACATTTATTTTCAAAGTTATTATTTTTCATGCAGTACGTTATTTTAAAAACATTTATGTGTTTTAATATTGTACATAAAATAAATAACAATACCTCAAAGTTAGATTCGTCTGACCACAGTATGTTGGACCAATCTTCCACTGACCAATCTCTATGTTTGAGTGCCCACTCCAACCGATTTTTCTTATTGTGTTCTGACAGCCACGGCTTCTTCCTTGCTTTACATCCTTTTAATCCAGCTTTAAGAAGTCTTCTTCTCACAGTATAAACACTCACTGAGCTGCCTTTTGCCTCAGATAATGCTGCAGCGAGCTCTAAAGCAGTTTTTTTCCTGTTTTGTAGAGACTGCCTAATCAACAATCGATCTTCCCGTTCAGTAGTAACTTTTCTTCTGCCTGTTCTTGGTCTATTTTCATGGGTGCCAGTCTCTTTGAAGCGATTTATAGCATATTGAACTGCACATCGCGAGCACTTCACTTCTCGGGCATTTTATTTTAACCTGAGACATGCCTTGTTCATGTAAAATCTTAATTCTTAGACGCTGTTCAGCACTAAGTTCAGATTTTTTCGGCATGATTAACACGTTAAATGTTAGTCTTTAGAATTGTGATAGGAATAGTTGCGTAGAAGACGTGTATGTTCACTGCAAGCACTGATAACACACTATAACCCGAAACGCAAAAAAAGCAAATTCGAAGAAACACCGCTTAGGAGCACACCTGGATGTCATAAATATTTTCTTTTATCTTAATTTGGTTAAAAATTGCCGCTAATACAATAGCTAAACCATAAAACACAGACTTGACCGCAATATAATGAGATAGTGACTAACAATAGGGGTGCCTAATACTTTTGCACGCAGCTGTATATATATACGAAATACAGCCTGGCTGGCGTCCAATTTCCATACGTGATGCTATCGTCTCCATAAGTCGTTCTTGAATCTTGGATGCCCATTATCTCTTTATGGACTTAGGATGCATGGGATCGCGGTGTATGGAAAAATTGTAACGTAATAAATTGTATTAATATTGTATAAAATTTGCTTAATTATATTATTTTGTATAATGGGATTTAAGGCTCATGAGTATATAAATGAAACTAATATTTACTTTGCAATAACCGAAACGTCACTAGTATGCGGTTTTTTAAATAATAAAATACGCGTAGTATGTATGTAATCCGAAAATATTAGTTTCATTTATATTTTTGTGTTATTTTTAAATATAAAATCAAATGGGATAGCAGTTGTAGATATGTATTACTAAATCAAGAACCAAAGACAGTTTCATATAAATCAAAATACTTATACAGGGTGACTGGTGAATTAATATCAATATTTAAGGAGAATACTCGGTACATGATTCTCATTCGAATTATGTAAAAAAAATAGGTACTTAATTTTTGACCAAATTTCCGTATAAATAAATAAAGTGTGGAGACGTTCCAAGTGTTCCAAGTGTGGACGCGTGCGGCGGCGTGCTGATACAACACCACGCCGCCGCACGCGTGTGTGAGTGTGTGTATACCTAATCTGTAGGGTGTTCACACGATGCGTAATTAATTACATAACTTTTGGTTAACTTTACTTAGAAGTTTATTAATATTTATATTATATTAATTTTTATTATGTTATATATGATCGTCAAATATCACGTCCTCAAATATCGATAGTAATTCACCAGTCACCCTGTATATATATTTCTCATATAGTATATTGACATGACCTTCTCCATATGAGAAGAGGCCTTTGCTTATCATTGGGCTCTGATAGGCTGATGATGATGATGATGATATTGATATATATTTTTTCCACAGCCGGCTGTTGGTCCCTCGGGGGCCATCAGCAAGGTGCACAAGTCGGATCGGAAGATCGGTCACCGTCGCGTCGGCGAGGGCGGGGAGATCACCTACAAGAAGATACAGTCCTCGCAGATCATGGGTTCTATACAGCTAGGTAAGTGTTAGGTTAGGATGGGTTAGCTGCAAAGCCCGGCGTCGTCGGGGCAGTCCTAATTGCCGGGATCGCCCCCATTCTCCGAGGTAGAAAGTCCGGTCTTTGCCAGGACCGGCCAGTCGCTGGTGTGCCCTGTCGCTGACAGATCCGGAGTACACCGACACAGCGGCCGATGGCTTTCGCAGTGGTTTTAGCGAGTAGGGACCCGCCCAGGCCGAGTCTCACACATCCCTTCCGGCCCCACCAAGGCCGGTTGGACGGCTCGTAAAAAGAGTTTCCCTGCGTCATAAAAAAAAAGGTTGGGTTAGCTGCTAGGTGAGGTTTCCCCAATAACAGCCTAAGAGAGTGAGCTAGTTCATTAATAGCCAATGAAAAAGTTTTTTAATTTCCCTTTTAAGAAGCAGGTTTAATGTGTATTAAAGGCTTGTCCAAGCCTAAGGTTAGCTAATTTAATGTCCAAAGATTATAATGATTTTTTAACTTTGTTAGAAGGACGTTATGTTCAGTTGGGTGCATTGTGTTTAAGGAATATGTAGTGAGAAAAAATAATTATAATATTTTTTTTGTACCCTTCGTTTTCGACAATTTTATCTGTGAATATTTTTTAGTTTCAATTGAAAATTTATACTTCAAATTTCCTTATATACAAACCGATTTATATAACTGAATTATATAGTTAAAATTATTATACGATTTATATCAATTAGTTCTTTACTATTTATTAATATTAAAAGTATATGAATATAACAGTTGACTATACAATACTGTGTTCTTTTAGAGCAAAATTTCCTTCATAATCAATTTCTTTGCCAAGAAGACGCTTTAAAAGCACCATTCATAATACTCCGAAAACTTTGAAGCCAAAACAATCATCACTAAAATTTTGAATACATTGTGACTCATGATTAAATATGAATTGCATTAAGCGTCTTATAATGTTTAAATTGTATCTCATTATAATTGTTTATTGCATATTAATATACTAGTCTGTACACGCGACTTCGTCCGCGTTAATTTCGGAATTAGTAATACATATATGTATGGCTGACCGGGAGAACTCTATTCCGCTCTAGAGGCCGTAAATAACCAGATATTGGAGTATGTTAAAAAAAAAATCTGTTTCGATGGAACAGAATTAAATATCCTATGTCCGTCTCCTGGTTCTAAGCTATCTCTCTACCAATTTAAAACCATATCCCTACAGTCTTAAGAGTTATAAATACTATAACTAACACGACCTTTTTTTTTGTATATTAATAGATTATATTAAGGTTTTAGGGAAAAAGAAATACTCACTTTTTTAACACATATTTCACGTATAATTTTCTGTTCATATGTTGTAATTTATTTTAATGTTTTGGTTGCTAATGTACAACAGATTTGTGGTGGAACATTATATACAGGGTGACTGGTGAATTACTATCGATACTTGAGGACGTGATATTTGACGATCATATATGACAAAATAAAAATTCATATAACATAAATATTAATAAACTTCGAAGTAAAGTTAACCAAAAGTTATGTAATTAATTACGCATCGTGTGAACACCCTACAGATTAGGTATACACACACACACACACACACGTGCGTGCGGCGGCGTGGTGTTATATCAGCACGCCGCCGCACGCGTCCACACTTGGAACGTGTACACACTTTGTTTATTTATACGGAAATTTGGTCAAAAATTAAGTACCTATTTTTTTTACATAATTCGAAAGAGAATCATGTACCGAGTATTCTCCTTAAATATCGATAGTAACTCACCAGTCACCCTGTATACATATGTATGTCGGTATGTGTATATGTATGTATGTATGTATATTTATCATTATCATCGAAACCATTGGACTAATAATATGTAGATACATATCAGAATATTAAATAGAACGCATATCAATCTATCCACGAAATATTTAGTGAATATTATTTGAACTGATATTGATACGACATATGATGCGTTGTGTTTAAAGATAAGCATTGACCTATAAATATGACTGGTGCAGTTTTTAAAATATAATGTACTAGCTTTCAACCCGCAGCTTCGCCCGCGTGGAGTTCGGTTATATCGCGTTTCCAAGAGAACATTTCAAAAGTCTGGGATAAAAACTATCGTATGTTCTTTCTCAAGGTCAACTCTATCTCTGTACCAAATTTAATTAAAATCAGTTCAGTGGTTTAGACGTGAAAGCGTAACAAACAGACAGACAGACAGAGTTACTTTCGCATTTATAATATTATTGGGGTATGTATGTAAAATATGCATACAAGCTGTGCACTAGTTTTTGGCTGGGTGAAATATACTCATCTTTTACGATAGTCAGTGTGTGTATGTATGTGTGTTTGTCTGTGGCATGACAACTCTCAAACGGTGCAATTTCGATTTCAATGCATTTATATTCATTTGAAAGCTATTTTCCTTCCGGTACTTTTTAGGTATGTTTTGTTAATTCGCTCAAGCAGTATAAAAGTGTTTAATTATTTCCAAAATGATGTAAGGTATTTTTGGGCAAAGGTTACTATAAAAAGCGCTAACATGTGACATTACAATTATTCAATTTTAATTAGTACGGTATTTAATTTTTAGTATAAGTATAGATAAGATTAGGGGCCCCTTAAAACCTACACCTGGGTCGCAAGTCCCAGTCACTGTTGAAGCTCCTCTCACTACAACGCTGGACCCGACACACGCACCGTGAATACATGGAATGATGAGAGGTTTCGTCTCATAGTATAAAAAAAATCGCAAGTAGAAGTAACGTAAGTTATTTCTAACTCCTAGCTGTATGCAATTTAAAGTCCCATCAGATTTTTTTTTACATTAGATTTGACAACTAACTAATATGTCAATCATTCTGTCGCACTTCAAAAGACGGAGATTTATGGCTTTAATAGGTAAACTCCAAAAATATAAATATAAAAAACGTAACAAATATTTCTTGATTATAGGGCGATACGAAGTTCGCTGAGTCTTCTAGTATATATACATATATACTTCTCAGTCAGTTTTTATCACCTCGTCGTTATGACACCAGGCCGTCATAATTACTCAGAGACCTCTCTCTGAGTTCTTGCATCTTCGCTAATTGCACACTATTAGACAACGGTACGCATTTCATTCATTTTTCGTCTATTTCATTCATTATATATTTCGGTATTAACTCCTAATTATATACACGCCTTATATTTCAATGGTATATATGTAAAAAAAACTGTGACATATAAATTAATGTTCTCGTAACAAGTCTGTGAATTAAACACAATTAAGTAACAATTACTATTAATCATTATAATTAGTATGTATCATGATATAAATTATCAAGCGGTCATACGTAGATCGGGGTCTTGAATACGTCATTGATGACGTAATTAAATCCCCCACCGGCTCTGTGACGTCATCAATCATCAGTGCAATTAGAGCGTCCGCTTACGCCTGGTCTACACTACACAGTGTATTTAAAATTTATTTACAGTACATAATAATGAATTTATTATTATTTATGAGTAGTTCATTCACCCTATACTGTGGTTTAGATATTTATTTACTAAGTATTTACCTTTAAGGAGAAAAGTATTTTAATCCTTAGAATTGTTGCTGAGTTTTTTTTTCTATAGCATTACACTTGTATGGTTTGATGAATGCATTCCCAAAGAGGGTTGATGTCAGGCAGGCGGCCGGTCGTAAAAACAATTAGCCTAAACTATTCACAACATGTAAGGCAAACCCTGGCTAAAGCTGGGAAATTGCCAGGAAGTAGAAGAAGAAGACACTTGTATGGTTTGAGTCAAAACACACACACACATACACACTTATATATACAAACACACTCACATACTTCTTTCTTTGTACATCAGCTGTAAGTGTGAAATTTCAAGCCAAACTATAACTACGCCATCGATTCTTTCTTTTGGCATGACATTATATTTTTTCTAATTCTATTTTTGTATAGCAAATAGCAACGAACTTATATGTGATATTTTTTTTAAATAGAACTTCTAATTTAAGTTAAATTCAATATATATAATCCCTACTAATATTATAAATGCGAAAGTAACTCTGTCTGTCTGTCTGTTACGCTTTCACGCCTAAACCACTCAACTGATTTTAATGAAATTTGGTACAGATATAGAGTTGACCTTGAGAAAGAACATAGGATAGTTTTTATCCCAGACTTTTGAAAGGTTCTCTTGGAAACGCGATATGACCGAACTCCACGCAGGCGAAGCTGCGAGCGGAAAGCTAGTGTTTATACAGCTGCGTGCAAAAGTATTAGGCACCCCTATTGTTAGTCACTATCTCATTAGATAGCGGTCAAGTGTGTGTTTTATGGTTTAGCTATTGTATTAGCGGCAATTTTTAACCAAATTAAGATAAAAGAAAATATTTATGACATCCAGGTGTGCTCCTAAGCGGTGTTTCTTCGAATTCGCTTTTTTTGCGTTTCGGGTTATAGTGTGTTATCAGTGCTTGCAGTGAACATACACGTCTTCTACGCAACTATTCCTATCACAATTCTAAAGACTAACATTTAACGTGTTAATCATGCCGAAAAAATCTGAACTTAGTGCTGAACAGCATCTAAGAATTAAGATTTTACATGAACAAGGCATGTCTCAGGTTAAAATAGCCCGAGAAGTGAAGTGCTCGCGATGTGCTGTTCAATATGCTATAAATCGCTTCAAAGAGACTGGCACCCATGAAAATAGACCAAGAAATGGCAGAAGAAAAGTTACTACTGAACGGGAAGATCGATTGTTGATTAGGCAGTCTCTACAAAACAGGAAAAAAACTGCTTTAGAGCTCGCTACAGCATTATCTGAGGCAAAAGGCAGCTCAGTGAGTGTTTATACTGTGAGAAGAAGACTTCTTAAAGCTGGATTAAAAGGATGTAAAGCAAGGAAGAAGCCGTGGCTGTCAGAACACAATAAGAAAAATCGGTTGGAGTGGGCACTCAAACATAGAGATTGGTCAGTGGAAGATTGGTCCAACATACTGTGG